CTCCCAAGCACAGAGTGCATCACCCTGCTACTGAAGACTTTCAGTAACACTGAAGTGATTCAATCTGATGACAGAGTATTCTTTAAAACTTCTCAGGACCTTTAGTATGATAGCCCGTACTGCATGATCATATAATATAAGCATCTCTCAAATTAATTTGACCATGATCTTTCCTTGAGACTACTAATAAACATGCCCCAAAATTAGTTTTTCCAAGAACATTGTTTCCAAGGGGAAAAAAAAAAACCACAAAAGTATTCAAGTCATTCTCAAAATGTGGTCCAGGACCATCAGTTATATGGGAATTTGTTTCAAATGCAAATTTTGGGCCCTACTCCAGACCTATTAAATCAGAAACGCTGAGGGCAGGACTCAAGTTCTGCAGGTTACTGAGATTCAAAGTAAAAGTTGAGAATCACCCAGTCTAAGCTATGACCATGACCATTTCCGCTTTACATACAGAAGCTCCTAAACAGTTAACTGGGTCCATCCTTGTTCTTCTAAATGTCATTCTCCCCTTAGCAGACAGTTATGAACCACCATATCCTAACTCTGCCTAAAACCCTCTAACAGTTTCTATGCACCTAGAGAAACCCCCAATACCTTCCTGTAAAGGCCAAGGTTCCACCTTACCTGACTCACCCCTGCCCACCTCTGTGTTCTTATCTTGTGCTCGTCTCCCCCTTGTCTAGCACCTCTGGCCACAGCAGGCTTCACATGCTGGCGACATTGTCTCAAGGACCTTCTGCAACCCTTGGTAGAAGTCTCTTTCCATTCTCCCTCTGCTTCCTCATAATTCAGGTCTCAGTTCCAGTGTCACCTCCTCAGTCACATTACCCTGGTCTTTCTCTCTAGGGCCCAGCTTTATTGTCTTCATAGCAGTTATCAACCTTCAGGAAATGAATTTGTTTGTCTATAAGCTCCAGGAATGTTTGTGTTGATGATTGCTGCCTAGATGAATAGAACCTGTCTATGGAGCTCCAGTAGCTCACCATTTTCACATATCATTTGTGGAGAGGCTGAAGCCGCTCAGTGTCCTTTTCCTCCACTTCACAATGAGCCCTGAGCTGCATGTAATCTGCAGCTTCACAAGATGAGCTAGTGTTGACATCGCTTATTTAGCTATTTCTCAATGGGCCAGTGCTCACTGTGAAAGGCAGTGTTCATTTCCTTAATGGCATTAAGAAAAATGCCAATGATTAACTGGCATTTAGGAAGAAGGTTAATAATAATAGTACAATAAGCAATGCCATCTAAACAGTTTTTACGGAATTAAATTAGTTTTATTTTACTGTAAAAATATATCCTAAAGAACTATTTTTAAAAGTTTTTTTATTGCCCTAAGTAAAAGAATCACTCCTTATTATCAGTTCTAACAGACCTTCCTCCTAGTAACAGGGAATTGCTTAAAGAACATGACCTTGTAATAAGACTGACCTGGTTTCCAGTATATTTACCAGCATCTGCCATTTGTGATATTGGTCAGCCTACTTAAGCCTTCAAGAACTCAGTTTTCTCATCCATAAAACTTGTATCATAGTAAATGACAGCGGAGTAATTGTGAGAATTAGATGGGATGATGTTTGTGAAAGTGACTAATAAAAGCTACAGCTTATTGTGTACTAATTCCCAACAAATGTTTCCAACTAGTTCCCTTTACATGTGCTATCTATCCACATTTGCTAGTGGTAGATGGTGTTATTCCCATTTCACAGATAGTGAGACTCAGGGATTAAATAGTTTGCCAGAGTTAGAAAACTGTAAGCATCAGAGCTGGATTTTCAAACTTAGCCCATCTGATGCAAAAATTCTTGCCCTTAGCCATCACCTTGAAGCTCCTAAAATGCCAAACATGGGCCAGACTGCGTGAAGAGTGTAAGTTCATCTTCCAATAGGACCCTGATTATTTCAGTTTTCTGCACCTCATAGAGGAACTGAGTCTGCCCCACTCTGTTCACTGAGTCTTGATGGAAAAATATTCCAGAGTCTGCGAAAAAAATAATTAAAATCATGCAACGTGAAGGAGAAGTCATACAACTGCCTACGGAGTGTCTCATTACTTGCTGTTACTCCTTTAGGAAATGTCACTTCCGTACTGCATCTCTGGTTGAGTAATTGTGCCACATAATATACTACAGCAGCAAAGGCATGGCCTCTCTATGAGGTCAGAACAGTCCAGGGTCTTGGACTCATCTCTGTCACTGACAGTGCAGCTCCCATATTTCCAGGTGGTCACCATCCTCAAAGCTGGTAACATTGGAACCCCAGCCCTCTCATCCTCTCTCTCTGTTTCCTGGACACCTTGATACGCACAGCTTGCTTTCTCACGGGCTCCCTACAGAGGGTGCTGAATCATCACAGGCTCAAAGGCAAAGGACCAAGCAACATGGACCTAAATCTCTGAACTGTGACCCAAAATAAACCTTTCCTTTCCTTAGAAGTTGATTGTCTCAGATGTTTTGTCACAGTGATGGAAAGCTGACTTGCAGTTATGCTTCATATGAAAGTTTGTGTCCTCTCCAAATTTCCATATGGAAATTCTAACTTCCACTGTGGTGGTATAGGAAGGTGGGGCCTTGGGCAGCAAGTTCATGCCAGTGATGTCCCACTGATGAGAGAAGTCTGAGAACTGTGCTTTTGGAATTACTCTTACAGGTACTTTATGAGTCAACTGAGAAATGCAGCTTGTTTTATTGTATTTTGACACAAAGACAGCAAACATACATATAGTGACATTTCTATTATACTCTTTACTCATTGCCTTGGGTCCAAATTATCTTACTATTTCTAAAGATCAAAATTCCCACAAAAAGATATATATTTGAAGTCAGAAAATATGTTAGAAAATAGTAGTTATCCCAAAAGATGAAGCTCAACACTGATTTGGTACAGGGGAAATCATGGATATTTAGGTATAGTCCCTAATGGTGATCATTTTGAAAAAAACCTTTATTTGAAATTATGTGTTCAAAGCAGATTGTTTCCTTTTTTTTTTTTTTTTTTGGTTTTTCTCCAGTACTGGGAACCAAACTCATGACCTTGCACTTGCCAGGCAGGCGCTTTTGCTGCTGAGCTAAATCCCCAGCCCCCAGATTGTTTCCTTTTAATACTTGTCTAAATATGAAACTTAGCTGCACAAAAATATCACAATCAGTTTACCAGGATGTACTGGGTACTCCTGGTAAGCCAGCACAATTTCAGAAGCAATCCTTTATATTATTGTGTGAGAACTTTAGACTTCATACTCCATCAGCAAAACAGTTTGAGTGTGAACCTCAAATTTATGTTGGGTAATTCCCTTATACATTATATACATACATTTTAGCCATAATCCTTACAGTGCTATAGTTTGTATATGTGTCCCCAAAGGCCTGTGTGTTACACATTAATAACCTGGCTACTGGCCTGTGGCACTTTGGGGAAGGGTAGAACCTGTAAGAGGTGAGGCTTGAGGGGTCGTAGTTGGGATACAGCCTCAAAGCAGATGACATTAGGACCCCAGCCCGCTCATCCTCTCTCTTAGTTTCCTGGCCACCATGAGATGCACACCTTGCTCTCCCATGGGCTCCCTACAGAGAGTGCTGCATCACCATAGGCCCAAAGGCAAAGAGCTGAGCAACATAGACCTAAATCTCTGAACTGTGACCCAAAATAAACCTATCCCTCCCTTGGTTGATTGTCTCAGATATTTTGTCACAGTGACGGAAAGCTGACTTGCAATTATGCTATAGATGGAAGCTCATGTCCTCTCCAAATTTCTGTATTGAAATTCTAAATTCCACCATGATGGTATAGGGAGGTGGGGCCCCTGGGAGCAATCAGGTCTGGAAGGTGGGTTGCACATGTGTGGAGTTAGAGGCCTATAGAAAGGTGCAAGAGCTGGTTTTCTTTCTCTCTGCTCTCTAACATGCAAAGAATCAGCAAGAAGATGGTCGTCCGTAAACCAGGAAGCAATTCCTCACCATAACTGCATCTACTGACACTTTGGTCTTTTCCTTCCTAGGTTTCAGACTGTGAGACATAATTACTTATTTTTGAAGTCATCTAGACTGTTATATTGTTACTATAGTCTGTGCAGACTAAGACTATGTATTTATAAAATGTGTCCATTGTGAAATAGTTCCTACAAATTAACAAATATGAGGTAAAATATTTCTGTATGTGTTCATTTTAATGTTTTCTATCCTCATCTCTAGATGATCTATGTGCAGTGCACATGTGTAGATATCACTTTAGAGGTATTTGTTTTAGATGATGAATATGATAGAGGATCTAAGACTCTTTTCTGTAAATACTGCTAAACAAAATCATTTATATTTCATATTTATTTTGCAACACATATTATCTATGTCAAAAAACAACCATGCAGGGTCCCCAAAGTGCAGTGTAGGAATACACGTTTGAACACACTTCATCAGGACAACGTTTAACACAGTCGCTAAAAACTACACATTGAGCTGACATGGGATACTATTAAATAATATGTTTCCAGGAAGACAGCAAGATGCTTCTGCAAGTGACATATGTAAAAGAACCAAAGTCAGATACCATTTGGATGACACTAATCCAAGACAGGCCAGCGTGTTCTCAGTTGACTGGTTAGGTAGTGACCCTGCTTATTTTGAATGGCTTTCTGTAGTGGGCCAGGTTACTTCAAATAATCCCTTAAAGTTCTCCCAGTAGGGGATACTATATGATTTTATAGTGTTTTAAAATCTTTTTTCACTTAATATAACTTTTTCTCAAATAATTACATAAGGGTACAAAACTTGGTCTTGATGTAGAAAACAGAATCATTATAAAGAATGGAAAACGAATCCAATCTCTCCTTTGTAAAATCTTCAATTACCCTTATAGAAAAATAAGCTACCAGAAATAGGTAATTAAAAGGAGATTTTACTGCAATAGAAATGGTTAAAAGTATTTTAAAATGGTCCATGATTTTTGAACCAAATAAATTCTAACAAGATTTCTTGGAATACAATGTCTTGGTTTCTTACCTTGCCATACTTCTGTGCATAAGAGCCTGTGAGGAGCGAGTGAAAAACAATGATGGTTTCATCCAAATCCCAGACAAACACACGCTAAAGACAAAAAGAAAAAAGAACATCAAAAATTGTTAAGTTTAAGGAAACAAAAATAAACAGAAAACACCTTTTTCCACTATTGGGTAGGGTCTTGATACCATCTTATACAACATTATTCTATTTCATTATGTGTTTTTTTTTAAATTTACCAAAGCATGAGGAAAATAAATAATACAAATGACCATAAGTTTATAAATCAGAGCTACGTGAGAGATTGAAGCAGGAAGACTGCCAAGTACCAGGCCAGTCTGGTCCAATTTAGAGGGAAACTCTCAAAAAAAGGACTAAGGATGTAGCTTAGTGCAAAGGTCTTGGGTTCCCCAGTGCGCCCAATGGCTACAGAGGTAGACAGAAAGATCAATTGATTGAAACATAGATAAAATTTAATAGACATCCTAATTTGAGTGAATTCACACATTTACTTGTAGTTAATACCAAAATACGAGACATATTTGGGCTTTATGATAGATGTGGGCTTAACTTCTATATAAAGTTTTATAGTTCATGGAGCTGTGAAATTTTTCAATTTATGTGAAGAACTCAATTTTAAAAGTATTTAAAGAATCAAGGAGCTATCCCTAAACAGAAATTGTAAGGTGGGGTCCATGGATCAGATAAGGCCTGTGAATATATAGCTTGGCCTGCATAAAGTTTGAGATTTCACGTTATTCACCAATTTTCCTAAATTAGATTTCACCAAACTTCATAGTTTGACTGCAACAGAGAACCTAGAGGTCCAGCCATGCTGGCTGATAACCCCCAAGTAGCAGTGACAGCTAGGTCCTTGCAGTGGGTCATATCCTTGCTCCCACAGTCTGCGGGGCTCCTAATGCTGGTCACTCATTAAATCACCGATCACCATCATTCGGATACAGAAAACTGTCACTCATGAAGAGGGATGATGTCTATTAATTTGTACTAAACCTGAACATTTTTTTCCTCCATTGAAATACATGCTTAAGGGCTGGGGATTTAGCTCAGCGGCAAAAGCACCTGCCTGGCAAGCGCAAGGTCGTGAGTTCAGTTCCCGGTACCGGAGGAAAAAAAAAAAAAAGAAATACATGCTTAAGAGCCGTTTCTCCTAATGTTTTTTTCTAGTTTTTATTTTTTATTAGAACATGTTTGCAGTAGATCATGATCATATTCCTTCTGGAGAGTTGGTACTTGGGCATAACACACTTCAATTCTTTCTGCGTCCCCTTTTCCTGTCTCCCCTCTCCCTCCTATTTGAGAAAGATCTGTCTCCTTTGTTCCCATTATCTACCTTTTACTCTGTTCTTTATTTATATTTTAGGTTTGTATTTGATTTATTTCACTTAACATCCTAATGTTTCATAATAAAGATCAATCTGGTTAGTGTGGATATATCTCAAAAGAGCTCACAAGTGGAAAAAATGACATACCTTAAAATTTTCACAAATATAGCAATGTAACACATGTCAAAACAATGACATTTTCCCTGTTGTCAGAAGATGACTTTT